TGTACTGCTGCCCGCTGGGCATTCTGAAGTTTTTTCTCATCTCTCTCTCTCTGCTCTCAAATACACCTTGTTTGGTTTGTTTGGATTGAATGAAAATTGTTATGCACCTGACCTTTTTTTTTACCTAAATGTTTGACGAGAAAGGTGAATTCCTTTTAGCTGCCCAAATTAAACAACAACAACAACAACGTAGAAAAAAAACTTACAAAAGGTAACCCTCGTTTTTTTCATTTTTCGGTTCCCATGGCCATGGCCAATTTTTTTTGTTCCTTTTCTTTATTTGAGGAAAAAAAGGTTGTAATTCAAGATTTTTTTGCTTCGAAAAAATGGCTTTTATCGTCCTGTGTTCACGGTGTTTTTCTCCATCATCCTTCGGGCCATACCATTTTTTTCGTTTTCTTCGTCAGGTCGCTTTCACCATTGCCATCGACCGAATCTTTGATCGTTCAATGTCTTCGATCGATGTCTAACCAAAGTAAAAAAAAAAAATTACCTGTATGCACTGAGGGTTAATTTTTTTGTTTTCTTCTTCAAAAAAAAACTTTGCTACAGTGTATTGTCGTCAATTGTAATTCGTTAGAATCCATCGATTTTTTCGTTTGAACTTTTTTTTTTAAATTGAATTTTTTCAACCCAAAAGCAAGACGAAAAAATGAAAAATTTTTTCGTCTACGTGAAATTGTTTCTGACATCATCATCATCATTATCATTATTACCGTTTCGTTGCGTTTTCATTACGCGCAAACGCAATTTTCAAGTAAAATATATAATGATGATCGTCATCATCATCATTGGCAATGACAATGAAAAACAAATACATAATATATGTAATCATTTTACTTTGGCCTTGGATCATCATCCATCGTCGCATCATTCACGCACCAACAGAAAAAAAGTGTAGATGTACTGTATATTGATCTTGGAACCCAAAGAAGAAGAAGAATCTGAAGAAACTGACCAAATTTATTAACCGGCTTTCAGCTCACCCTCTTTGTTTTTTTTAGTTTTGCCACTACCTTTTGATTGTTTGATTATCAATAATAATTGTGGTGAGGAGGAAGAGGATGATAAGGGAGGATCGATTCGAAAAAGAATTTGACGTCATTTATTACTGTTTTTCTTCTCTCAACTAATCTACTTACCACTATATTTATTTCCAATATCCAATTATATCATTTTTAATTACTGCTACCCTTGTTTATGCAAAAAAAAAAACGAAATTCTATCTACCTATTCAACCATACCACTTCTTCTTATTGAAAACCCCTCTCCAAAATATCATTTACATTTACCACTCCCTTTCTCACTCAATTAGAGAGACAAAAAAAAAACCAAACACATGAAACAAAAACAACACTTGTGTGAACACACCAGCAAAATGCAATGTAAATTCATTCACTCACTTTAGGTTGTTGATTGGTGAAAATAAAGAAAAATATTATTTTTTCTTTTTGGTTTTTTGGTTTTTGATATTTACAACATTCAAAGATATTTTTTTTGTTGTACTTTGTACATTTTGTTTGTTTGGTTGATGTGTGTGTGTGTGCGCGCATAACATCATCATCATCATTGTTATTTATTTCAATTTTCAACCCAAATAACATCATCATCATCACATCACACAATACGGTAATTGAATTTTAAATGAAATGAAATGAAAAAGAGATGCACGTTGTTGTTTTGTTTGAAAACCAAAAGTGATAACCCAAAAAGTATTTCTGAATTTTTTGTTTTTGAATTCATTTTGATCATTTCAAGATAACCGATTCACTTACCGAAGACGACTTCGACGAAACATACAGAATTTTTTGTTTGTTTCTTGGTAAAAAATGTGTTTTTTCTGAAACAAAAAAAAAGTTCTTTATTTTGATGCGAAAAATCATTATTCGTGACTGTGATTTTTGTTTTGTTTAGTCTTTCATCGATATCTCTGTCTGTGTAAATCATTGAATGAAATTGAATTCCTAAACTACAAATCAAAAGAATTTATTATTTTTTTCTCGCCAAAATTCCACTGTTTTTTGTTTTTCTGGACCACAAAAAGAAAACAAGATAATATCATCTCAAACAACGTATGTGTGATTCGAATGTTTTTGTTCAGCTTAAAATTTCGTACCGAAAACTATCGATTATTCGAATAATCGATAGTATTCTTTTTTGAAATTCTTCCTTCGAACAACAACGATGATTGAAGAAAAAAAAATTCAGCATTGTCATTTTTATGATTTAAAATTCTGTTGTTTTTTCGTTTTTAAACCCCAAATTTTCGTTCATCCATCCCTCCAATTCATTGTACATTCTATTTCTTTCAATAATACTGTGTGTTTGTGAGGGTTAATGATGATAAAAATGTTTCTTTTTCTCCACTTGTTGTTCGATAGATTTATTTTTGAAATCAAAATCATCAAATGTCATGGATTTCGATCTATGTTTGTGTGTGTGTGTTTGGTACATTAATAGGATGATGATTTTCATTTTTGGCATCATATTTAATTCAAAAAAAAAAAAAATTGTTGTATCGATTTTAGTTTCTTTTCACTTGATTATCTTCACTTTTGGAAGGAAAAAAAAGGAACCCATTGACTTAGTGTTCAATTTTTTTATGTCTGTTTTTCTGATTTATTGAAAGTTATTTTTATGTATCGAACGATTGTGACTTGTTTTTTTTTCTTCTGTTGTTTTCTTCGTTATCCAATACATATTTTTGTGATATGATATATGTTTGATTGATTGATTTGTATCAAATTTTTTTTCAATGATGATGATAATTGATAGGGGAGAGAGGGTACAATTTTATTGAATTTCATGGAATTTTTCTTCTCTTTTTCCATGGATTTTTCGTTGTTGTTGTTTTTGTTTCATGTGGTTATGTTTTCGACTTTAATTCGTGAATGAAAACGCCATCTAGTTGTCGATAAAGTTGATATGTTTCGTTTTAAAAACTTTTATCAAAATTTTACAGTTTTTTTTTCTTTTTAAATCCGAAATAGATCCGGTTGGTAGGTTTTTTTACGAGATTAATCATTGATTTGATTGATTGTCAGTCATGATTTAATCAAATGAAAACAAATTAATTAAATCCAAATGAGGATTAGTCATCATTATCGATTGATCATGATTTGATTGTATGACAATTTTATCACTGGATACCTTTGTTTAATTAAAAAAAAGAAACACAAAATTAAAATCAATAAATCAATGATAATCCAATCGGATCGATTACAATTTCGATCATTTTTTTATTTCGAATGTTTCAAAAACATTCGATTCTATTTCTACACAAAATGTTTTATTTTTTATAAATCTATTTTGACTTTCGAATGTTTTTTCGTTTTATGAATCGAGTTCCGTTTTGATTTGGAATTTAATCATCGTCATTTTTATTTGTTTATTACCTACACTTTTGATTAGTTGAATTGTTGATTGAGAAATCTTTGTCATTATTATTGATGATAATTTTGGATAAGAGAGTTGGAGAGTTACGATAAAAATTTTTGATGATAAAATTTTAATTTTGGTTGGTTGGCTAGGTTTTTTGGGTTTGGTTTGGTTTGGTTTTTGGAAAGCCAACAACACAATAATTTTTCTACCAGCCTGCTTGTCTTCAATTTTTTTTTCTTGATTTCTGGTTTTTGTATTTATTTATTGGGTTGTCTGCTGTCTGTTGTTGTTGGTTGGTATAGAGAGCAGAGAGGATATCTATTTACACAAAAAAACATTTTTAGAATCGTTTTATAATTGATAATAAGATATCCAACAACAAAACCAAAACCAAGAGTCTCAAATAACCAAAAAAATCAAATACACGTCATCATCAGAAAGAAATTAGGAAGAAAAATGATTTCTGGTTTTCAAGAAAAAAAAAGAGGATATATTTTTTTGGCTATTTCTACCCTCACTTTTACCAAACAAAACAAAAAAATTGATAAATTTTTTTCTTATCAATTTTTTTTCAAAACAAACAAACAAAAAAAAGTTCCGGTTTGTTCTGTTTCACCCAAAAAATTAAAGAAATTTTCACATCCTTGATCATCATCATCATTACAAAAATAGAAAATCTTAGAATAGATTTTTTCGATTTCAATTTTGAATTGTCCAACTGAACAGACTGAATGAATCATCAATTCTTTACTGTTTTTTCTTTTCTTGAAAAAAGTCCAAGTTTTGATTTTGTAATTTCATTAGAAGATTTTCTTCATCAAGTTAAAAAAATTATCTTAATTAATTAAATCATCATCATCATCAATGGATTGTTTTTGTTTTTGTTGTTTATCCAACTAACTAACCATCATCATTCGTTACAAGGTTCTTTTTTCGTTCCTGTTTCGCCAAGCAACAACAGAAGAAGAAAAACAAAATTAATTTTGTTTTGTTTTGATATATATCCAATGCGTTTTTTGATATTGCATAGTTTAATAATCGTAGGATGTATATTTATGTTTGTTTGTTTGCTGTATTTTTTTTTTGTTTTTTTTTATTTTTGAAAATGGTGTAATGTTGAGCTCATTCATTCATTCCAATTAAAGCAATACTGCTTCTGCTTCTGCTTTCTGCAGTTGCTGCATTGCAATGGGATAATGATTGTTGTTGTTGTTGTTTTTCGTTGTTTGATGATGCTTAAGATGGATAAACGTTGTTGTTGTTGATGATGATGATGATGAATCCAAAAGAATTGTAATGGCAAGCATGATGTGTGTGTGTTTTTCCCTTTTTTAGTAATGTGTGTTTTTTTGAAGAAAAAAAAACACACGTTGAAATCCTTTTTCTTATATTTGGATTTTTTTTGTTTTTATTTTGTTTTCGTCAATTTTGTTTGTGTCTGGTATTGATTTTCTGTTGTTTTGTTTTTTGGTTTTTTAAACTTTTAATTGATTGAAATTCTGTTTTTGTTTTGTTGGTTGTTTTCTCGATGGAATTGTACTTTTTTGTTGTTGTTTTTTTTTTTGAAAAAATTCTTGGAATTTTTTTTTAATTGAATTCTTTTTTTCTCTTCGATTTAGGAATGGAGACCAATATAACATTGTGGCAATTCCTATTGGAATTACTTTTAAATCATCAGGTAATTTTTTTCGCCTTTGTTTTTTATTTGGATTCTTGATTGCTTTTGAATTCTGGCCTTTCTAATCTTGATCTGTTTTTCTCTCTTTAGCAGTATAAAAATATAATAACATGGACAAATAATGATGGTGAATTTAAATTGGTTAATGCTGAAGAAGTAGCCAGGTTATGGGGTTTACGTAAAAATAAACATAATATGAATTATGATAAATTATCAAGAGCATTACGTTATTATTATGATAAAAATATAATCAAAAAAGTTTTGGGACAAAAATTTGTATATAAATTTGTATCATATCCGGATGCACAGAAAATTGATACAGCCGCAGCGACAGCTGCGGCAAAAATGGCCGCATATAATCATCATCATCAACAGCAACAACAACAACAGCAGCAACAACAACAACATCATGCGGCAGCAGCAGCTGCTGCGGCTGCTGCAATGTCAAAAGCATTATCATCATCACCAACATTAAATCCATATAGTTATTTGGCTGCTGCTGCTGCATGTGCAGCATCAATTCCACCATCACCAACATTGGCACAATCATCATTTCCTGATATAAAAATTGAACCACAATCAACATCGACAACAACAACAGCAGCAACATCATCATCATCAACATCACCATCAGCGACGACAACAACCGCATCGATAAAAAAAGAACCAAATTTTTTCAATTTTCCTGTTTTACCTGTTAATCATCCACATCACCCGTTACATCATCATCATATTTCTATGTTTGGTCATCAAACATCATCAACATCGACAACAGGTGAACAGAATAATAATAGTATATTTATGCCATCAATGGAACCAACTGATCTTTCATTTAAAACTGGAAAAAATTCTATATCAACATCGGGAACAACAAAAAAACGTACAATAAATGTAGAAATAGATTCTGAATCTATTTCTGAATCAGAAAATGGTTGGCATGATACAAATTCTGATAATAATAATAATAATAATAGTCATTTGAATGGTAATAATGGTCATCATCATCATAATCATCATCAACAACAAAATGGTACAAATAAACGTGCACGAATGATAATAAATGATTATTTAAAAACATCATCACCATCATCGATACGTTCATTATCACCAATATCATCGAATCGTTCAATAACATCATCACCATCATCATTAACAGATTTATATTCAAATTTATCAAATGATTGTTCACCAGTTAATCTATCACAATCAGCACATTCATCATCATCACCATCATCAACAGATTTAATGGATAAAAATAATGGTCCTGGTTCTTGTTCATCAATTGAATCACAATCACATCAAATATCAACTAATGTTGGTAATCATAAAATAAATGATTTAATATCATCACCATCAACTATATCATCATCATCATCAACAACAACATCGTTAATGAATAAAATTAATATTAAACAAGAAGTGATTGCTAATTCACCATTATCATCATCAAATTTATCATCATCATCATCATCATCAACATCAGGAACTAATACGAATAATGGTGGTAGTGGAAAATCTAAACATAAACCACCACCAATATGTGCTATACCAAATAGTCCAACACAGAATAATTTATCATTTGCACAATCATTACAAACACCGATTGTAACATATACATCACCATTTTTGGCTAAACCAACACCTGGTTTATTTAATTCAACATATTCATTTTTTAATTCATTAAGTCCATTATTATTACCATCACCAAGATATGCAAGTGGTGCTAATCTATTTCAATTTCCAACACATTTATCAACCAATCAAAATGGTTCAAATTTGTTGAATGGTAATGGTGGTAATGGATCAACAACATCATCAACAACAGCTAATCATCCATCAATAACAACATCGACAACAGGAACTGGTTCAGCAACAATACCATTATCACCATTTACATCCGCTTCATTTTCATTTTATGATCCACAATTTTTATTATCACCACAATCAACATCGATACCTGTATTGCAAAGTTAAACCGCGTTAATTAAAAACAAAACAAAACAAAAAAACATTGAAAAAATCAGTCAGAAGAATATTCTGTGCTCAACACACACACCCCCTATATATTCATATAATTTGTATTTTTATTTCTTTTTATAATCTTTCATTTTTAAATATTTCTTTTTTTTTGAAACGAAAAACACATTTAAAACAAAAAGTGATCTCTTTCTTTAAATATATATTCTTTCTTTCTTTTTTCTCTTACCATAAACATTTATTGATTTGATTGATTTTGTTTTATTTTTTTTTTCTTTTTGCTGTCTGTTTTTTGTTTGAAATTCATCGAATTGACCTTATCAAACACCACCTTTCACACACGCCATGTCCTGAAAATTCCCTTGAGAAAGAAAAAATAGAAACGCAATATCCAAATATTGGACAAATTTGACCAAAACAAAGTGCCTTTTTTCATTTCATCAAACAAAAAAAAAACTTTGATGATAATGATGATGATATTGTGTCCTAACCTAACCTTACCCTACCTGAAATGTAATTATATATCAACAACAATCAAGAGATGCCTAAACACAAACCAACATACCTGATCTTTTCACATTTGTGTCTTTTTTCATTTTCGCTAAACACACACCCAGACACACACACACACACACCTTACCTAGCCACCCAACCTCACCTCATTCACTATTTACAAATTATCATATCTGTTTGGTGTGGTGGTTGTATCATCAATGACCATTTTTTTTCTAATTTGTTAATTTTCTTTTTGTGTTTTTTTTCTTTTCATTTTTTTTAAATTTTGTAATTTCTTTGTATCTCACCACTATTATCACATCACATCATTACAAATATATAGCCTGATCAAAAAACGAAAACCAGAATATATTTTTTCTATCATTATCATCAAAATATTCATAAATTCTGTGTAATTTTTTTTTTGTTGTATATTAAAAAAAGAAGAAAAAAAGTTTTATTTTTCTGTGTTTTTTTTCGTTGTTGTTGTTGTTGTTGTAAAAATTCTGTCCTCTCAGGCCTTGCAAAAACTACATTTCAAACATTAAACATAACAAAACACAAATTTACACAGAGACTTACCGTTTGAAAAAGAAAACTTGCCTAAGAATTTCTCCCACAAGACACAAACTTATTACCGATGAAATTTGCATTTTTTTCGCTTGAAATGAAACTTTATTTGATAATGATGATGATGAACTCTGGAACTTTGAGTTTTTTCCTTTCCCTTCCCGATTCTGTTCAACCAAGTGCTGCTTTTTATTCTTTGTTTGTTGTTTCCTATATATATATAAAAAAATGTAATTTCTTCTTCGATTCCTCGATTTGATTGTAATATTTTTCTATTTAAAAAAACAAAATTATTATTATTATTATAATTATTATTATTAAATGCTTATATTTATAAATTATAATTACAACGACAATGATGATGTTTAATCAGATTCATTTATATATTTTTTTTCCCCCACAATCATTCACACATATATAACACACATATATTTTTTATTATTAAAATTATGAAAATTTTTCATTTATTGATTATCATTATTGATTGATTGATTGATTGTTGCAAAATAAATAAAAAAAAAATCCTGAATTTTAAAAAAATGACAAGATTTTTTCAGTTTTTTATCCACATTCGAACATTTTCGAATTCGAATGTGTTGAAAAAAGTGATGAACGAAACTATCGATACTGATTGTTGAGTTTTTTTCTCATCCAAAACAATCGTTTTTTTTTGTGGATCAAAATCTTCATTGAAAGTGATGAAATTTCCAAAAATTTTTGAAAATTTATTTGACAAACAAAAATGACAAGCAATCAAGATTATCAATGTGGTGATGTGATCAATGTGGATACACCATTCGTACATGTTTTGAATTTGGATCAAAAAAATCAATATTGTGATTATTGTTTTTCAGAATAGTATGTGTTTTTCATGGTTTTTTCCTATCATTTTTCGATTAATCTTTTTTCCTATTTTAGTTCTGATCTAAAAAGATGTAATCAATGTAAACAAATGTTTTATTGTGGAAAATCATGTCAACGAAAAGATTGGAAACACCATAAATGGGAATGTTTGGATATATTTTCGAAAAAATTTTCAATAATTGAAAAAAATTTACCTAGATTTTTATTACGATTATATTTATGGATTGAAAATAATCCTGATTCATTGAATGAACGACGAAAATTTCCTGATAAAAATCCAAATTCAAATCGTTGTTTTACCGATCTGATGACACATTATGAACAAATTCAAATGGATCCAATTCGTATGGCTGCATTTCGATCATTATGTTCGAAATTCGAATCATTAAATTCGTTCGAATTGGATACGGAAAAATTGTTCGAATATTTTTGCCGTATTTGTATCAATGCATTTACAATAACAAATTGTGAATTTAATGAAATTGGAACCGGTTTATATTTGGCTGAATCACAATTAGATCATTCATGTTTACCAAATGCATCACCTGTTTTTAATGGTCAACGTATTGCAATACGTGCAATTCGTCCGATTAAACAAGGTGATTTGATTACAGTCAATTATGTGGATTTAAAATTATCGAAAAATATTCGTCAAAAAAATTTATTGCAACAATATTATTTTCAATGTAAATGTCAACGTTGTGAAACGAATGATCCAATTGATTGTCAAAAATTGAAAGAATTAATTACCCGAATGGATAAAGCAATTGACAGGAAAAATTGGTTTAAAGCATATGAAATGGGTCAAAAAACAATGCCAATGTTTAAACAAATTTATGGTGAATGTCATCCTGATTTAACTGTACAAATGATACGAATGTTAAAATTATATTTACAATTAATACCGCAAAATAATGATTTTGGTTTTTCGATCAATTTGAACGAAATACTCAAACAAATCAATGAAACAAAACAGGCAATTAATCGAACAAATTTTTATGATGATGAATTGTATAGAATATTTGTACAGATAATCAATGATCTACAATTACCATTTGATAGGATTTTTTAATAAATCATTATTTTTTTTTAATTACAAAATCATTTAATAATGAAAAATCAAAAATGTTTCCAATAAAAATTTCATTTTTCAAAATTCTATATTTTTATAATAAATGTGATGAACGAATGTATCGATTATCGAAACATTTGTCAAACATTTTTTTCCTCTTAATTTTATTTTGTCTCGCTTTTCCCGTTCATCCGAAGATTTCGAAATTTCCATTAATGTATGATAGAAAAATCGAAAGTTTGATTGAAAAGCTTTTCATTCATTTCTAAATCTTCTATTCTACAACAACAAGTTCACTTGAATTATCGAAACGAAATTCTCATTTCTAAAAGTTTATTCGATTCATTCGTGTAAAATTATCATCGAAAACCAAAACAAAACAATGTTTAGTCGTCGTGATTATCAAGTTGGTGAAATAATATCTGTCAGTTTACCATTTGTACATGTTCTCAATAAAGAATTTAAAGGTAAAAATTGTGATTACTGTTTCGTTGAATGGTAAGTTTTCATTTCGAGACCAAATTCGATGAATAATTTTTTATTTTGAATATTTTTTTTAGCAAAAACGATGATTTGGAAAAATGTAGCGATTGTGAAAAAATGTATTATTGTGGCAAAGATTGTCAACAAAAAGATTGGATTCAGCATAAATTGGAATGTAAATTCTATAAAGAAAATTTCAATCAAATGGATGATATATATTTTCGATTTGTATTGCGATTGTATCTGTACTTGAAAGATAATCCTGAACGTCTTCACGAACGGTTTAAATTATTAAGCGATGAAAATTCATCCGTATCTTTTAGGTGTATCTATTTGCAGCAATTCCTATTCAAAGATGAAACAGCTATTTCTTTTGAATCATTTTACAAACAATTTCAATTGCTGAAAAAAGAATGGGATCAGGGAAAACTAGCATCAGATTATGCTATATGCAATGAATATGGTTTGCATATTTTCAATTATAAAATGCAACGTTTAGGTATTGGCCTTTATATTGCCGAATCACAATTGAAACATTACTGTTTATCAAACACTAAAATATTGTACAATGGTACTCAACTTGTAATGCGTGCAACTAAACCGATCAAAACTGGTGAACAAATTACCGTCAAAAATAGAGCATATCCACCGATAACAATACCGGAAGATTCGAATAAAATATCTATAATGAATTTTAATTTCTCACATATGTGTATATGTCTAAGTTGTGCATCGCAAAATGATATTCATTTAATGTTGATATTTCTGGGATTATGCCGTGAAATGCCTTTTGCATATCATTCTTACGAATGGCGCGAAATGTATATAATTCACAAAAAAATAACATCAATTTTGAACGAGGTCTATAGTGAATGTGATTTGCCACAAATTTTACAAAAAATTATTATGTTGGAAACTTATGTAATGCTTCATGATGATGATGAAAAATCATCCGTTGCAGAACTGGCAAAACGACTTGAAATCGAACTTCCGTCTGTCTACAATGAAATATTTGCAAATACCTATTTTAATCGTGAAGAAGAACCATATGTTACCATTGTGAAAGCATTGGCAAATGTTGAATTTAATGTTAAAAATTGAAAAATTTACTCTCATCATATCTATGTTTAATCCATTACATTTTTAAAAATCATACTTTGTTTATTCATTAAAAAAAATTAAAAACAGTTTTAGGCTTTTTTGAAAAAAATTTTGATTTTTTGTTTAAAATGTGATGAACGAATGTATCGATTATCGAAACATTTGTCAAACATTTTTTTCCTCTTAATTTTATTTTGTCTCGCTTTTCCCGTTCATCCAAATGATTTCGAAATTTCCATTAATGTATATGATAGAAAAATCGAAAGTTTGATTGAAAAACTTTTCATTCATTTCTAAATCTTCTACAACAACAAGTTGACTTGAAATATTGAAACGAAATTCTCATTTCTAAAAGTTTTATTCATTCGTGAAAGATTATCACCAAAAACCAAACAAACAATGACCAGTCATCGTGATTATCAAGCTGGTGAAATAATATCCATCAGTTTGCCGTGTGTTCATGTTCTCAATAAAGATTTGAAAGGTAAAAATTGTGATTACTGTTTCGTTNAATGAATTAGGAAAATGTGGTCGATGTAACAAAATGTATTATTGTGGAAAAGAATGTCAACAAAAAGATTGGATTCAACATAAATTTGAATGTAAATTTTTTAAAAAAAATCTTGAACAACTAAATGCTATTGAACAAACAGATGATATATTTTTTCGATTTGTTTTACGATTGAATCTGTGTTTGGAACACAATGTAGAAATTTTGCACGAACGGCGTAAATTTTTAAACGATGATGAAAATTCGGCCGTTTGTCTTGATGGTATCTTCAGAGAGAAATATAAACCGAAAAATGAACAATATGATTCTCATTTTATTTATATGTTTCAACAATTCAAATTGCTGAAAATGGAATGGCATCCGGTAAGAATGGCAATATGTCATAAATTATGTCATGAATATGGATTGACAATTTTCGATTATGAAATGAATAAATTAGGCTTTGGTTTATATATTGCCGAATCACAATTAGAACATTCTTGTTCACCAAGCGCAAAATTATTGTTCAATGGTACTCAACTTGTGATGCGATCCACTAAACGAATCAAAACTGGTGAAAAAATTACCATCAATAATATTAAATTTTCACGGCCACCAGAATGGCTTGTACCAGAATTCAGAATGCATTATAATTTTTCATATATGTGTATAGAATGTGCATCGGAAAATAGGTATCATTCCCTGAGAGGATTACGACAAATATTTTTTGAAATGTTTTCAGCATCTAAGTCGAATGATTTGAACGAAATTTGTAGAACTACAAAAGAAATGATATCAATTTTGAACAATATCTGTTATGAATGTGATTTGAGTCTAATTTTACAAAAAATTAATTTTTTGGAAGATTACGTTATCATTCATAATGATGTTGAAGAATTATCTGTTGCAGAACTGGCAAAACAAACTGAAATCAAACTTCCGTCTGCCTACAATGAAATATTTGAAAATACCTATTTTAATCGAGAAGAAAAGCCACATGTCACTATTGTGAAAGCATTGGCAAATGTTGAATTCAATGTTAAAAATTGAAATATTTACTCTCATCATATCTATGTTTAATCCATTACATTTTTACAAATCATACTTTGTTTATCAATAACTAAAATAAAAACAGTTTTAGACTTTTTTTTGAAAAAAATGGATTTTTGGTTTAAAATGTGATGAACGAATGTATCGATTATCATAACATTTGTTGAACATTTTTTTCCTCTGAATTTTCTTTTGTCTCTCTTTTCCTGTTCATCCAAATGATTTCGAAATTTCCATTAATGTATGATAGAAAAATCGAAAGTTTGATTGAAAAACTTTTCATTCATTTCTAAATCTTCTATTCTACAACAAGTTGACTCGAAATATTGAAACATTTGTAAAAGTTTGATTCGATTCATTCGTAAAAAATTATCGCCAAACAATGACCAGTCATCGTGATTATCAAGCTGGTGAAATAGTATCCATCAGTTCACCATTTGTACATGTTCTCAGAAAAGAACTTAAAGGTAAAAATTGTGATTACTGTTTCGTTCGATGGTGAGTTTAGATTGTTTTTATTTCGAAACAAAATATTCTTTAATTAATTTTTTCTTTAAAAAGTAATGAATTAGGAAAATGTAGTCGATGTAAGAAAATGTATTATTGTGGAAAAGATTGTCAGCAAAAAGATTGGATTCAGCATAAATTGGAATGTAAATTTTTTCAAAAAGATTTCGATCAATTCAAAATAACTGNCAAACAATGACCAGTCATCGTGATTATCAAGCTGGTGAAATAGTATCCATCAGTTCACCATTTGTACATGTTCTCAGAAAAGAACTTAAAGGTAAAAATTGTGATTACTGTTTCGTTCGATGGTGAGTTTAGATTGTTTTTATTTCGAAACAAAATATTCTTTAATTAATTTTTTCTTTAAAAAGTAATGAATTAGGAAAATGTAGTCGATGTAAGAAAATGTATTATTGTGGAAAAGATTGTCAGCAAAAAGATTGGATTCAGCATAAATTGGAATGTAAATTTTTTCAAAAAGATTTCGATCAATTCAAAATAACTGGAGAAACAGATAATCTATTTTTTCGATTTGTATTGCGATTATATCTGTACTTAAAACACAATCCTGAATGTCTTTACGAACGGCGTCAATTTCTAAACGATGAAAATTCAGCTGTTTGTCTTGATGATATTATCAAACAGAATTTTCCACCGAAATTAGATGAAAATGATTTTCATTTTATACATATGTTTCATCAATTCAAATTACTAAAAATAGAATTCAATTTTGTAAAAATGTCGAAATATCATAGTATATGTTACGAATATGGATTGAAAATTTTTGATGAAGGAATGCAATATTTAGGCATTGGCCTCTATATTGCCGAATCAAAATTGAAACATTCATTTTCATCGAACACTACAACATCGTTCAATGGTTCAAAACTGGTAATGCGTGCAGCTAAACCGATCAAATCTGGTGAACAGATTACCGTCAATGTTGAATTATTAAAAATAAAAAAATCGCTCGAATGGGATATAGAATCGAAAATGTTTCATAATTGTGAACAATGTATATTGGTAAATAGAGCTCATTCATATGGAGAATTGCTTAAATTAGACTCTCAAATGAATCCAATAAATGTGTTGAACAATTTGAACGAAATGAATAACATTTGTGAAACATTTTTTGGTTCTCACGTATTTAACAAATATAATCGCAATTAAAGCATTCCAGTTTCAAACAATGGTACTAACAACAAAACCTGTTGAACAAAATTACCATCACTAATGTTGGAATTTTAAATATAATAATACCGCTTCAATCGAATACCACATGTTATCATTGTGAAAGCATTGGCAAATTATGAAAAAAATTATCCATAAAGAAAATAAAAATAGTGTTTAAAAAAATTGATTTTTTGTTTAAAATATGATGAACGAATGTATCGATTATCGAAACATTTGTTGAACATTTTTTTCCTCTTAATTTTCTTTTGTCTCGATTTTCCTGTTGATCCAAAGATTTCGAAATTTCCACTGATATGTATGATATAAAAATCGAAAGTTTGATTGAAAAGCTTTTCATTCATTTCTAAATCTTCTATTTTACAACAGCAAGTTCGCTCGAGTTATCGAAAAAAATTCTCATTTCTAAAAGTTTTACTCAATTCATTCGTGAAAGATTATCACCAAAAACCAAACAAACAATGACCAGTCATCGTGATTATCAAGCTGGTGAAATAATATCCATCAGTTTGCCATTTGTACATGTTCTCGAAGAATATTTTAAAGGAAAAAATTGTGATTACTGTTTCGTTGAATGGTGAGTCTATATTGTTTTTTTTTTGTATCGAATATATTCGAAAAATTAATCAATAATTGATTTTTTCTATTGAATATTTTTTTTTAGCAAAAGTGAACAAATGATAAAATGTAGCGAATGTGAAAAAATGTATTATTGTGGAAATGATTGTCAACAAAAAGATTCAATTCAACATCAATTGGAATGTAAAATTTTCTCAAATGAATCGGATTTTTTAAAAAGTGTCAAATCGTCTCAAGGTTGTACCTTATTTGTTCGATTACTGTTGCGATTGTTTCTTCACGTCAAAAACAATCCAGAACAAGATAAAATTCTTAACGATGATAACCGAAATCCAAAAGATTACTTTTTTTTTCTTTTTTGGTTAAAGTTTCTATTGGATTGTTTTGAAATAGAATTTGATTTTGAAAAGATGAGTAATTTGGTTGACATATGCCAAGAAGAAAAAATAGAAATTTTCGATTATAGATTAAATAAATTAGGCTCTGGTATTTATATTGCCGAATCACAATTAAAACATTCTTGTTCACCGAACGCTAAAATAATGTTCAATGGTATTCAACTTGTAATGCGAGCAACTAGAACAATTGAAATTGATGAAGAAATTACCATCAATAAGTTTTACTTTTTAAGCTACCAACGATTTGTTAAATTGAGAACTCTAAATAAGTATAGAGACAATATAATGAAAATACCGGCAAAAACTTTTTCATATCAATGTAAAAAATGTGTATCAGAACAAAAAGTTCATTCATCACCAGAATATTCACAATTGGTCAGTGAATTACTGTCAGCATCTGAGTTAAAGGATTTGAACGAAATTTATAGAATTGGCAAAAAATTGATACCAATACTGAACGAAATATGTCGTAGTGAATGTCATTTCCATCTAATTTTTCATAAAATTAGTATTATGCAAATTTATGTAAACATTCATAATGATGTTGAAGAATTATCAGTTGCAGAACTGGCAAAACAACTTGAAATCGAACTTCCGACTGTTTACAATGAAATATTCGAAAATATCTATTTTAATCGAGAGGAAGAAGCAACTGTTACCTATTTGAAAGCATTGGCAAATGTTGAATTTAATGTTAAAAAAAATTGAAATATTCAATCTCATCATATTTTTGTATTTAATCCATTTCATTTTCGAATAAAAATCAAGTTCTGTTAATCCATAAAGAAATTTAAAAAAAATTGAAAAAATTTTGATTTTTTGAGTGAAAAATTTTTGATTTTTTGAGTAAAAAAATATGATGAACGAAACTATCGATTATTTTGAAAAATGAATTCATTGTCTTTCCTGTATAAGTTGGTGTTTATGTGACTCAACTTTTTCGAAAAATCATTTCTATTTTGTTGAATTTTTGAAGTTACGTTTAAAATTACATTTTCTTGCTCAAAAACAACAAACAAAAACAAAAAATGATCATAAGTAATCGTGATTATAAAGCTGGTAATATTATCAGTTGTAATCTACCATTTGTACATGTATTGAATGAAAATTCAAAAGAAGATTATTGTGATTATTGTTGTGTTAAATTGTAAGTATTTTACTGGGAAAAATTGACTGAATCACTAAGATGATTGATTGATTTTTTCGCTTAACAGAATCAAAAACAGCAAACAACAAAAATGTGATCAATGTAAACAAATGTTCTATTGTCAAATCGAAT